TAACCAACTTTTATATTAGATATTGTATTCGATCTACTCCACCATTTTCCAGAGTTAGCAGATCGCAGTTGTAGTTTGGGACTCATTTCTACGTTGGCTCAAACACCATTCCCATTCTTCGGTCGAAGTAACCTTTCATTTTGGGAACTGTGCATATATAATTGTCAGTATTAATTTTTTTTTCCTCTTTAATTTTTAACATAATAATTTTTTTCTTTTAATATATTTAATAATTATTTGGCTAGAAACAAATTTAATTTTAAATTCCTCACAACTCTCGGAACCTATTTGGTTTTTTTTTTTTTCAGTTTGTTGTTCTTGATTAATTTAATCTATTAAATGCTCTCTTTGTCGATTGAAATTGTAATTCAAGGCATAATAGTGAAGGCCCACGTCATCAAAGAAGATGAGCATCGATCATGCGTAAAGAAGATGCGAGACTTTTTCCAGCCATTTAGAGAGGTGATACAACCATTCTTTGATTCATTTGTAGACATGATTCTACTGGCGATTGTAGATTGTCCAGGCAGGATTCAAGAGAATGAAGAGACGAATCAAGAGACTGAAGAGACGAATATAGAGAATCAACAGACGTCTCAAGAGATGGGACAGACGAATCAAGAAACGAATGGAGATGCTGAAGAATTATCATTTAAAGACAAATGCGGTATATATTCTTTTAATATTTGCAATTTTCTCGAATGACTTTGTAGAATTTGGTGGGTAGATGCCTGGCACAAAAGTTGCTCTTTGGATTTCTTGCGTTTCCTTATAATTTGGTAAAAGTCATTTTTTGTTCATATGTTATAAGTTAAAAGGCAATTGGAAATTAGGGATGGGGAATTATTCATACAAAAGTTGGGATTCCAAACTTGCCAAGGTCTATAATGGACATTGTTAGTGCAGAGAGCACCGCAAGTGCTTATTACATCTATATATGAACTTATTAATAATTTATTCATTCTGAATTTTACTAATTCACTACAAAGGTACTATATTGCAAAATGATTTTTTAATTTATATATGAGTCCTTTTCTTTTCCTTTTTCCTTCTTTTTTATGCTATATCTTGATTCTTATTTGTAGAAATAATATAGCAAATCTATGTTCTTTTTTTAATCAACATAGAAAATTTATTTGGATTCATATTTTTAATCAGTATACATATTTTTGTAGAATGAGTTATATGCTTTCCTTTTTGTGCTGTATCTTGATTATTATTTGAGTTTCATAATGATTAATTCTTGCTTTTTGTTTTATAATTTGGATTCAATTCTTTTTTGCTTCCCATATATGCTGAGTTATAGGCAATCTTTTTGGATAAAGATGATGGAAAAAGTATGTAATTAATTATTGTAGTTACAACTTCATTCCTTCTGATTAATGAATATACTTCATTCATTGCAGGGAAAGTGACGAATATATTACAAGTGGCATGGGGCATTATTGTTTGTATGCAGTAACATCGACTCAATTAACATTTTTCTTTTTCTTTTTCTTTTTTTTTTTTTCATTTATGTTAATTTTATTTGTAAAATTCATTCTTTCGGAATTCTAAATATTACTCACTCACTGCAGCGATACCAATTGTGATGCTACTTTGTGTAATTGGTAAGCAATAATGTCCACTCAATGAGACTTTTATTCCCTTAATTTATTTTTATGTTATGTCTTTATCATCAAAGCATATTGATGGATGCGAATGTTATTCTTTTTTGTGTTTATAATTTGAATTAAGGTCATTTTTTATTCTTGTATTATGCATTAAAGGTTATATTTTTCATTAAAGATCATAGAAAGAGAATCAATTATTGTACTTATGAAACTCTCATTCTTTCTAATCTTAAATATAATTTATTTACTGTAGATATCGCAATCCTAATCCCGCTTGCATTGCTGATGGACCTTGTTGGATTGATCATTGGTAAGCAATAAGCAACAGCATCCACTCAATGAGCATACACATTTTAGCTAATGGTTATAAAGGCAATAAACTGCAAATATGAAACTCATTCTTTCTGATCCTAAATGTAATACTCATTCATTGCAGTGACGCTATTAATACTGGTTAGAATGCTCTCATGGTTCCTTGGTAAGAAACTACGTCTACTCAATGAGCCCTTTTCTTTTCTTCATTTTTGTTCTATATCTTGATTCATCTTTATACTAAAGTTATTATTATTATTATTTTTTGTTATTAGCAAGGGATTTATATAAGATAAAGTTGATGGATGTGTATGCTAGCGAGGTTATACAGTTAATATGTAAGCCATTATCAAAATTAGATCAGAACCAGTCTGTGCAAAGTACAGCAGAGGAAGCAACCATCCAGGCTATCAAGAATGGCATCCCAGACATTGTGAAAGAAATTATTAATGCAAATTTATTAAGGAGCAGCACAGATCCTGAAGATTCAAGATCAAGAATTCAAAAAATATTTGCTTTTGCTGTAAAACATCGTCAAGAGGAAGTGGCACACTTTCTTTATGAATCTGAAAAGGAGAAAAATATGCTTTTTACCACCGATGAAGATGGAAATAATACATTACATCTAGCAGCAAAGTTACCCCCTAATTATCAATCAGGTTACATCCATGCTGCGGCTTTGCAGTTGCAAAGTGAACTACGATGGTTCAAGGTAAATATATTTTACGTTTTTTTTTTTTTTTTTTCTAATTAAGTGGTGAGAAATCTTATATTATTTCTTATTCATATACTACTCTTTTCTAGTATATGTTATTTTCTATACTGTGAATTGTTTATCAAATTATTTTCATGAAATTTCAATCTCATCTTAAACATATATTTTATTTGTCGAGACTTTCTTGTCAATGAAGATGAGTCTATTTTAGTTGGGACAGCTAATCTTACCGATTTTTCAATTTTTTATTTGATAAAAAGCTATCTGCATTTTAATCTTTTATTTATCTAACTCCAAAAATTAATTAATTATATATATATATATAATGATAGACTATATATTTTATTAGCTTCTCACTTAGCATCTATAATATTATGAAACAATTGTAGGCAGTAAAAGAGATTGTTCCACGAGCCTACAGAGAAGGCAAAAACAAAGACAATGAAACCCCCTTGGAATTGTTTGTTAGAGAACACAAGCAATTGCTAAAAGAAGCAGAGAAATGGGTGAAGAAAACAGCAGAATCTTCAACAGTCGTTGGTGCTCTTATTATTACAATTATGTTTGCAGTGGCTTTTTCTGCTCCTGGTGGGAATGATCAAAGTACAGGTTTTCCCGTACTTTTGCACAAAACTCCGACACCGTTTATGATATTTATGGCATCAGATGCAATTTCTCTTTTTACTGCGACCAGTTCAGTGATAATGTTTTTGGGGATTCTGACTTCACATCATTCTGATGAAGATTACCGCAAATCCTTCCTCTTGATCATGGGCCTTACTTCACTCTTCGTCTCTATTGCAACAATGACCATAGCATTTTGTGCTGCTCTTTTCATAATGCTACAAGGTCAAGGTGGGTTGGGGTTAGTCATTCCTATAACTCTGCTTGCTGGTATTCCTCTCGTATGCTACGTGTTGTTGCAGTTTCCTCTTCTGGTTGAGATTTTGGGTTTGACTTTTAGCTCAAACATCTTTGGTAAGAAAGGAACATCCTTTGCCGATATGATCGCTTCGGGGATGATGAGCGGATGGACAGCAGATATGATCGCTTTGCCGATGAGGGGATTGAGGGGTTGAGGACAGCAGTAAAAATTCTTGCAATGTCTAGTGATGCCAGTGAATTAGTCACTTAAATGAATGTTGCTTTGAATTATATTTTTTAAATACATGCGTGTCGCTTTGAATAAATGATTGTTGTCATAAATGTCAAACAATGCTTTGGCCGTTGGTCAAAGTTGGTCGATTGATTATACACCATTATTTGCTGCAGTTGTAATAAACATTTGGTGGATATGTACAGCTGCCTTACAGACCGATTGGCTACATGTATGTGTCTCCAGTCCCATGGATTGGGTTTAATCCCATTCCCTTTCTTCAAAACTGCCCTTGTTCAAAAAATAAAAATAAAAATTGATGGATAGTATATTTTTTCAAGAGCACATATTTTTCTATAAACATTTGGAGATTTAAATACTAACTATTTTTGAGACCATGCCACTATGGACTATCAGAGTACCCAGTGAACTGCATCAAATTACTTTGATGACCGAGTAGCCAAATCCTAAGCTCCGGAGAAGCTGCAGAAGATGAAAATAAACAAAAGTACGTAGTTGCTAGAAATGCCAGCTCTTTTAAAGATAAAGTCTACGTTAGATGCTACCTTGATGTTGCAGAACCTCCAGCAAAGTCTAAAGAAGAAGCTGTGGTGATTCTGGTGAAGGAGGTGCTGAACAGTTAGAGAGAGATGTTACTATATGCTGCAAAGAAAATGACAACCGAAGCACAAATGGACTGTAAAGAATAGGTCCAAAGTGTGAAGGATGTATTAAGATATCCGTTTTGTTTAGATTTGATTTTGAAGCTTTGAGTGTTACCGCCGAAGTTGCTGCATTCAAACTTGCAAAAATGATGAAAATGAATCTGCAATGAAGATGTCAGCAAGAAGTAAGCCAGTTAGCTGCATTGTTTTTTTTCTTTTGATGACATAAAACAGAGAAACCATTAAACATGGTAGAGGAGCCTGTGAAGAAGGCAATAAAACAGCAATTAATGAAAATGATAAAGCAAGAGATGTAATGCAATAGAATTTTTCAAAAGCAGGGTCAAGTAGTCAACCACAACTCCCTCAAATACTAAGGAATACAGAAGCTGAGGGTGAAATATTGAAAAGTTCATAAAGTTCCAGATATGGAAGCCTTTGTGACTAAAAAATAATAGTTCTAAATCCACATGTAAACATAAACGAAGCACGGAAGTGCTAATGTACGCTAAAACTGTAAGAAAATGGAATACCACAGACTGTCTGTCTATGCTACATTCCAACTACTGAGGAAGAAACTTGAGATGAAAGAAACCTTTTCCAGGTAAAAAAAAAAAAGGAAAAAAATTAAAATCTCTTTTATTCTCGTGCCGAACCCACTTTCATCAATGATTTAAAAAGAATAGATTCAAACCCGTTTGATCAGCCGCAAAAAATTCAGACATGAGACACACTTGAATTAACTTTCAGAGTTTGAACAATTTATTTTCCACTAAGAAATACCAAAGAAGCAATGTTAACTTGACAGTAGCCCCTCTAGTTATAATAGAGCTTAAAAAGAGTAGCTGTATTTGAAAAATAGAAAAATTCCATTAATGGAAAAGCAAATGTTGATAAACAATTATCCTACTAACTACCTACTGCATCAACTGAATGAAGAATGATATCTTTTTTATTTTATATGTTAAATCGGAGAGTTAGTTGCTTAACATCGTAGATATTTGAATTTCAGACCTTAATCTCGAAAAAGGCTTTTAAGAGGGTACCATTTTAGCCAAACTCTTGTTGGTATCAAGTGAATGACATCATAAATCTAATGTTGCATTAAAGAGGCAAGCTACTTACATTATGCTGCCCACAAATTTTTGAAACTTAAGCAACAAGGGAGCACTGAAAGAGTTAAATGATTCATATTATTTGATATTTCTTTGCAAGGAAGAGAGAAACATTATAATTACTATTTCTAGCTAAAGAAAGATGCATAAAAGTATTTTGGTGAGATGAGTAGATTAGTGTATAGCTCCTGATAAACACTGCTGTAATTTCCTATTTCAAACCACCCGTAAATTTTTGTAGTTAGAGGATTTGGTGTACATGTGATACACTTGCATTCTTAGGTACTATATTGATAAAAAAAATAATAATAATAAAGTTCTGTTTGATTCAAGAATCAGGGACTCAAGATAAAAACAATTTTCCATAAACTAGACAGATATTGAACTGGACTTCTAACCTTAAGCACTGATCCGAATGTTGAAGCCACATCCAAAAGTGAAGGCCAAAGATGATCACATTTACTCGCTAGCATTTGCAATCCCTACCACACTGAGCATATTCTGGTCCTCCTTAAACCTTTCTAACACAGTAACTTTAGGAGCATCTTGTCTTTCTTCTTGTTTTCCTTTTCTCACAATTCCCCAGCATTCTATCAGTTCTGGGCAGATTTTACTGTTCTTTGAAAGGCAAGGGCTGTTGAATGTTGTGCAAGAGAAAGTGTGTCCCTGATCAAAGCCTGCTGAGAGGAACATGGCCAAAGTGATTAACTGGCCCTCCAAACCCAATGCCATTTGGAATGGCCTCTGAACTGAAACTCACAGCACACTGCCCATTGGAAATTGTAAGATACATAAGTCAGTTAAACAAAACAACAATAGGCAGTTGAACATCAATAATACTGAAGGCCAAAAATAAAGACAATAGGACGAAATGCATGAGGAAGCATGGAAATTCTACTGTACACTAGAAGGAAATGGAATACCACCGATCATGGGAACTGGGTGCTACTTTCCAACTACTAAAGTAGACAGTAGAGATAAAAGAAACGAGGAAAAAAAATCAACTTTTTCAGGGAAAAAAAAAAGGAGTATGAATGGTCAATTAAGGTGACAATAGAATTAAAGTTTCTTTTATTCGAGTGTCAAACCCACTTTCCTCCAAGTTCAGACAGAGAAAACCTTGAATTAACTCCCAGTTTGAACAGTTAATAAGATCTATCAAATAAGCAATGATCCATTTTACATTAGCCCTTCTAATTATAACAGAGCTTAACAATTGCAGAAAAATTCCAATCGGGGAAAAGGTTGAAATACAAACATCCTACACTTGCTGCACCAAGTGAACGATATTATAAAGCTTTCCTACAGGGCTTAACTAATCACGGCAAGCTGAATAAAGAAAGAAAAGTGTGAGAACCATCATATAAAATTCATTGAAATCAAACAAATAAACGATTCAAAAGCATATTTGTTTCAGCAAAGTAGGAAACCAAAGTAGAAACATACTCATTGTAAATTGTTGCTGGTCCCAGTTGGTCTGAATATAGATGCCTTTGGATGGAGCTGACGGAGAAAAGACTTCATATCTCCATAGAAATCACTATGCCTCTCCCAAAGCTGGGAAGCATAACCCCCATATATATAACCTTCATTATCCTTAATAATCAAGAGAGTTGGCCCATTATCATTTTTGCAGTTCAATTGAACAATTATCCATTCCACTCCTACTTAAAAAATAGTCCAGAAAGAGAAACTGAAATAAAATTAGCGAGGACTCAGCATTTAAAGAGTGAAGCAGGAGTAGCCATGGGACGAATCCGTACCAAGACGGTGAAGAAGTCATCTCGGCAAGTAATCGAACTGCTGCTACTCGAGAATGACTCTTGATTTCCACACCAACAAGAAGATATATACTCGATGAGGTTGCCATAATCCCTTCCAAGCGCCTTTGCAACCAGATTGCCGGATTCTCGACCCATCTCATGAAGCGCAACCAGAAGGGTCGGGTTCGGGGCATCTCGCTCAAGTTGCAGGACGAGGGGCTTGAACGACGCATAGTCTTCGTCCCCGATGAATCCACCATCAAGAAGGATCACATCAAGGTCGATAAGGAGACGGTTGACATGCTCTCTGCTCTGGGTATGAGTGAACTTCCTAGGTTAGTAAAAGAAGATCCAATTGAAGCACTTATGAAGAGAATACTAGCGCGGGCATCCACTGGGCATGAGAGAACTTCCGCAATGAAGGTCGATTCCGGGTTTTTGTTTTTGTTTTTTGTGATAAAAGGAGAAAATATATATTAATACAAATTAGGCGGCTGGTAAAGTTCTTAGAACAAAGTTCTAATATGGTCTGAATACAACAAAATAGAGAGTTTAGAAGGACTCTTGTCCATCTAATATGGTCTGAATTTGGTACTGCATTTGCCTCCCAAAAGGTGTGGTTGATCCGAAGGTTAGAAACTTGACCTATAAACAGTATGCAATCACAGATCAAAACGCCCAATAAGTGACATTCATTATTAACACAAATACACAATTCAAGAGCTTTTTAGCAGTTTTTGGATCAGTATCCAAGATCAATCCCGGTCAAAATCCGGACGGTTTACTAACCTGGAAAAAATTTGGGTGAAAAAACTAAAATAGTATTATTTTTATTTTTAAAAGTATATTATTTTAATTTTTTTAA